CAAAACCATTGGTCACTGTGAGGCAAGGTCAAACAGTAAACGTATGCAGTGATTGGGCGGCTAAATAAAACTTCATGGCTATCACGGTCAGGGAAAATTCCGGTACAAACTTTGTCGCTTCAGTTTTCCACGGTTATATTGCCTTAAGGATTACAACACTTATAAAAAAACAGCAAAAGTCACGTAAAAAATGCTGCTGAGATAGTGCCCAGTGTAAACTGAGCATAAGCAAAATAGTCGATGTAGGTAAACAGGCATTTCATGTAAAAAGTAGTTTGCCACATGGGCAAAGAATGGGTCATTTAAGATTTCGAATGAGATTTATGACGCTGTGTTTATTATTCACCAGTTTCTTCGAAACATTTATTTGCGACATTATGCCTAATTTAGATCTTGCTATTGCTGTTCTGTTATTACAGTTTTTGCGACGCTTTTACGTTTCGAAACAATCTGGCTGACGAATCCACTCAAGGATGCGCCGTACTCATTACTCTAAAGTTGTCTGTAGGATAAAACACAAGGAAAGTTTGTAACCGTTAGAATGTCGGTTACAGAGACTTTCATGATGGGACCATTTTCGACGCCGTTCCTTTCATGAAGGCTGGGTTAGAGACTGACCTCCATTTCCATCGAATCATCAAGGAGCGCCTTATTTATACAAGCATGATCCACAGCAGCTACATGATAAGGGTAGTGTGTATTCTCTTATTTCCTTCACATTCATTTATCCAAGTGGTACGCACTAATCAACGTCAGAAGTAAGGAAGAAAAGTGACCCTGACCGTCCAGTCCTACTATCGAGTACCTTGGTCTGAAGCAATGTGTGGTAATTTCGTTGCTCAGCTGAATTGGTGGTAAAGACAAAGATTGATTGCCTGAAGCGAGCATGAACTCGGCACTATAGCCGAACTGTTACGCACTATGCCACCACGCCACACATCGTGGACGATGACAACACAAACAGGAAGAAACGATCACCACAATTCTGAAAAGTGATTGGCCAACTTACACACGACCTCGAAGAAACTACCCACTTCTGAAAAGCCATGGGCCCTTAACAGATAATGAACAGTAAAAATGGACTGTACCCATGGAAAAAATATAGCTAACGAAAAGAAAGTGTACAACAGAAGCAATAAAGTATCCCATCGTGTTTACGCTGAAACGATGAATTTGTTCTTTCATATGTGATACTAAGAATTTGTTTTAATTTGAACTTTTGTTTGCATTCTCTGAAGCAAACTGTCGTATGGCGAAAGTAACTCGGAAGAAATAAGGGGCAGTGGCAAAACGGGTGCAGTGTTACTTTCCATGTTTAGTGCTGGCTTCGAGTCCTACATGTGAAGTAAATTTTTCTGATTGCCAATTCTTCAAAACACAGTGTTCGCCACCTCTACTTCCATACAACGAGACGAGAAGGATGCAAACTATGGCCCACCTACGAACGACAAGGTATTCTTGAGTGGTTATGTCAGAGGATGCAGGATATAAGATAATAGTGCCTGATGCATGCATTTTACGGCTGCAATTCTTTTTCATCCATCTGATAACTGACTAATGATCAACATAAGGTGTACAGAGTAAATAAATTTTATAAATAAATGATCCCTTCACAAGAGATAGACATTATGGTGTGAACCATCGGTATTCAGAAATTCTATTTTTAAAGGCGGATGCACCTCGGATATGCTTAAACCTCGAGACACAAGTGCGGCTATCAATGTGAGGAACGAACGAACCTGGGCGAGGATTATATTCATATTCGGTTAACTTTAGAAGGACCACTTGAACTTGGATCGAAGTTGACTTCCTCTTAATAAATGGTCCTCATCTACTCCATTTACTGGAGGCACCTCAAGTTGCTCCCCATCGAATTCAGCGAGAGGAGACTGGAGACTAAGCAGATAACGGTGTGATTCACGGTGAAAATAACCTGTACGAAATGCATGCCGACAAGAAGGAACTAAGTAATTGCGTGATGACAGACAAAACCCTTCTTCTTACCACAAAAGAAATCTGGCACAGTTCTTTCGAAACAATTAAACAGCAGAATGTGTGCTGACGCATGTACCCCGGGTCACAACGT